ACAATACTCCAACTTGTAATAGTATAAGCATATATTTATCTTTTCGGAAGGAAATCTAGAGAATAGGAAAAAAACTTCTGTCTTTAAACGCAGTTTTCCTAAAGTAAAGACTTTTTAAGCCGGCGTTCAGCAAAAATGAAGTAAATGTGATTGCAGTAAGAAAAATGTTCCACAACTAAAATAGAGGAAATTTCGAAACAAGAAAAATGTGATTCATGTTGGTCAAAGTTGTAGTAAGTCTTTGCATTGCAAATACTAGAGCCTGCTTGTTTCCAATGGCACTTTCGTGCCTCGCACCTCTTTCTTCCTTAGCTATTTTGGATCAAAATTGTCTGAAGTTGTTGAAAGCTTACCTAAAACAGTTGCTTTAGCGATGCAGTCAGATTGTGATAAAATAAATACAGAACTAAGACCGTTTCGTCTAAACACCAGTCAACAACGTCAGGCCAAGTCATGTATCTCATTTCTCGAAGTCACTTTCATGACCATTTCAATAACTAATCATTTTGTTTGAGAATTTCTAGATTTCAAAATATAGAACACAAATCTTTCTAAAAAGTGCATGAGTAGGTATCAGAAAATGTTGTCTTTTTGTTGATAACGAATATGAAGGTTCTTCCATAATCTACACTATTTAGTAAGTACAGATGGATGAGGAGATCCATACCTAAAGACACAATTAAGAGATAGGAGTCGTACCAGTGAGTTGTCATTAGCGCATGTACCAGCCTACGATGAGTCACGAGAGGGAAAAAAATGAGTTTTCGTGACTTTAAAAACATCGTAACAGCGCAGTCTGCTGATTCCAAATTTATAACAAATTCTCAAATGCAAAGTTTTGAGCAGAAATGGCAAGGCAGCGCTTCCGACGCGACTTCGCACTTACTTCGCTTTACAAACTGCGGCAGCGACGGTACTGTACTGTGCAATTAGAGACTAACTTATCGTCTGTGCGAAGGCGATCCAAAGCCTGCTTGCCGATGGAATCAACTCGCATATGGTCACCGAGTATAGCGATAGGTACGTCTGAGTATTAATAAAGCTATACTCCTCTTTATGAGAATAGATACTTTCGTGTCTTTCAATATATGTAGAGAAGATTATAGAAACGTATACATTATACAAAGTTAGCAATAGTTAGATGGATTGAGACATGAATTTGAAATTCGCTTCCAGTCGCTGTTCATGCACATCACTTGATATGAATAAACTTACGTCACTTGAAGCACCTATCAGAAATCGCAGCAGAATAAATAGGTAGTAATTTGGAGCAAGGGAAGCAAGCATATGACAGATAAACCTTAAGAAAAACTGTTCAAATTTATGAATTTTGTTATAGAACGTGAAAACTACTATTATTCGTTAGATAGCATAAGCGTTAGCACTCACGCTGATGTAAGGGAAGCTAGCATCATTGGTCTTCGACCATACTTGTCCGCCATTGAGGATAGAAAAGGCACCATTGTTATAGCTCCTGTGATAAAAGCATGCAATAGAGTGGAAATCAAATTCGGAGAACGGAGGCAAAAGAAGCAGTCATGACCTCAGACCCAAAAAAACTGTTTTTATCGAACTTCTTGTTCTTCTAAACTTCTACTTCTGACCAAAACTTCTATATTGGAGATCAGTAATCTGAGCACTAAAAAGGGACTATAATTTTAAACTTTTCACTAGCATTATTTTGCTTGTGTAAACCAGATACAACAGAATCAATCAACTTTTTCTTCCTTGTCAAATTTTGCTTTAGAATTTTATTTTTTTACGAGTAGACCCTTTTATGAACTAAGTAGCTACGTTTGGCTCTATTTGTGTGATAAAGTTTCTGAACGTCTTTAAGTTAGCTATGAGGAGGTAGCTGAAATAACCTTTTTGTAAAATATAAATTTCGTTTAAGCAACCTCCGCCCTTTAGAGTATTATATATCTGGTAAATGGTGATTTTGCACAGAGAATCTTCTAAGGCGGAATCAAGGTTCTTTCTCCGCAAATAAAAAGTATAGTTTGGGATAGGCATTATATAATACTCCACAGGTTTCGCCAGTATTTTTGGCTAGGTGGTAGGATAATAATTCTTGCTTTCATCGATCTATAGCGACAATTTATCTCAGAAATGGTGTAGATGGACGAAATGTTTGCTGTTGTTCAAATTTGTGTACTCTGTTTTACTTTGCTACTTGGCTAGCGCTTTGGAGCTTGAAAAATTATCGACTGATTTCTCTGAGGGATAGAGGTGAATGTGCAAGAGGCGTTTTGAATGTATATTACACGATTTTAAAAAATTTTTGGTGAGGTAATCTCGCTTCAAAATCATAGTAAATAAAATACTTTAAGTTGCAGCAACCTAATTATTGTTTTCTATGAAACCTTTTATTCATCGCAAAGGCAGGCTGAAAATGTTCGCATTGTTTTCAAAGTTAACAACTTACTCAACGATTCTTACCTATCGTAAATGCTGTTAGTCCAGCTTCCTTCCACATAAATGAACTACAACTTATGCCGAACTCCTTGATAAGAGTGGTAGAATGACCAGGATCTTTGACACTAAAGTAAATATTTTTAATTTATATCGATGTGTAGCTTCCTTTCACTTCTTTGTAGATATTTTGAAGTTGATTTCTGCATTTTGCTGTGTTGTCAAACTCACATCAAATTAGTTTCTGGAACGGCACCGCATTTACCCTGCAGCGATAAGGTGCTGTTAGCAACGATATTGCAGCTCGCGTCTACTGCTATTGTTATATTCTAAAAAATGAGTGTTTAAATAGTAAGTAATTACACGCTACCTTAAGTTTGATCTTTGGGACTGTCAGAGCACATAAAGTTCTCACAATTAACTAGTTTTTGCAGCTATCCGATTGTGACGTTAGCGCGCACATAGAAGTTACCGATTATGCTGAAATCCATAATGGTAGCAAATGATTTGGTGAACTATCTCCAAAGGCTTGAGACAAGTTACATGATGCATCGATGGGACCCCAGTGAATCCCCCGTAAAGACGTCATTTTATTGGATAGATATGATATTTGTACTCCGCATATCCAAAAATCCCACCAGCAAGTATTCGCAGACTTCTGAGAGCGAAATTGCCTACATTAGATGCAGTATCTCTGACCAAGGTGCTACCGTATGAAATTGGGGCCATAATGGGCTTAAGCGCTTCCGATAAATTTCACTCATATTTATTGGTCACCCACATACTGAGAAAAACCAAGAAATTCATTAAATAGATAGAAAAATATGATCACCTTATAAATGCATTCAAGTTCTGGGTTGGGCTCCACATAGGGCATAACGTACAAAGCTGCAGAGTAGAAGAAGTTTGCTATCTCACATAGGATATAGCCAAAAAATTGGTACCTGCAACATTAAAAATTTCGAGGTTTTCAGTGATAAC